TAATGTCATAATATGACTTTTTTGCATAATTTTACAAGTTTATTCACACAATTTTGTGACTTTATTCTTGTAATATTACAACATTAATCTTGTAATATTATGACTTTAATGTCATAATATGACTTTTTTGCATAATTTTACAAGTTTATTCACACAATTTTGTGACTTTATTCTTGTAATATTACAACATTAATCTTGTAATATTATGACTTTAATGTCATAATATGACTTTTTTGCATAATTTTACAAGTTTATTCACACAATTTTGTGACTTTATTCTTGTAATATTACGACATTAATCTTGTAATATTATGACTTTAATGTCATAATATTACGACTTTATTTGCATAATTTTATAACTTTATTCTCTTAATTTTACGACTTTAATCTCATAATATTATGACCTTAATGTCATAATTTTACGACTTTATTCTTGTCCTTTAAAAAAAGATCTTGTAGTGTGGCCCTAATATTCTGTCGATATCTATACAGCACAGGGAGAAACTAAATTAAACTCTTCTGCCCTCCTAGACACAACAAGTACACAACAAAATGTATTTAATGGCTAAAAAAGTGGATTTTGCAGGATATGTCGCCTTTAAATAAACTCTCAGATTGTAATAATCAACCTGATTCAAGAYGGCTGCAACAGATAATCCACCTAAGCCAACACAAAATCATCATTTTCACAGATACTTAGCCAAAGTTTGGTGTGGCTATAGTTAAGAATCATCTTCATACCATACTAAAGTTCACTCCAAAGAATTCATGTTAAGAATATAGAAATTACAGTTATAAAGACAAAATTGGAAAACAACTAAAGCCACATCTTGTTTTTAACTTTAATTCTCCTTGTCTCCGTTTTTCTTTTTCTTCAGTTATTATCATTCAGCTTTTTGATTGTCACACTTAACAGAAAACAAAACAAAATAAAGAAAATGCTTCTCCTGATAAGTTCTGGACCAAAAAAAAGTAATAAAAAGTCCAGAAACTTTTCTGCTTGAAAAGTTTCCCCTCGTGTGATCCAGCAGCATCTGGCTCACCTCTGCAGCAGGTACGCCCACACATAGCCTGTCCACGGCAGGGGTGCTCTTCCGAGGGTATACCTGCAGCGAGCAGACAATACAATGAATCAGCCGAGCAGCCAGAGAGAAGGCGGGAGGCAGGAGGAGGGTGGGCAGCAGACGGCGAGAGAGATAGAGGAGTGGATGGCAGGAGGAGAAACAGAGAGCGACAGACCGTAGCAGCAGGGAGGAGGAGAGATGGAAGAGGCAGGTGGCAAAAAGAAGGGAGAAGAGAGGGGTGGCGAAACGCAGGGGGAAAACATTTTAACAACAATGGATAATTTGGAAAATTCAGAGCGAGCCAGACGGGAAAAAAAACTCTGAACAGAAGACATTATTTATGAGCTAATCTGCAGCGACTTTTCCAACAGCGCGTCAATAATCTGAACAGAGATGGCAACTTTAAGAACTTGTGGTGGGTTTGTTGACCTTAGACTCTAAGGTCAACAAACCCACCACACTGGAAGCTAACATTTATAACAGGAAGATTTATGAATCACATTGAGAGCATTCAGTGAACACAGACACAATCATCTCATTTCAATAACAAAACAAGTCAATCTGCTAAAACGCAAACAAGTAGAAAACCTCATGATAACTTCAAAAGCTGCTTACTTACATTTGTTTTAATACAAAAAATTAAAACATCATTACAGTTATGATCAAATTTGACTGTATTTTTTTACTAAATCCACTCAAACTTGCATTCTTTAATTGTCAAAAGATTTTAGATTTTACACTGAAAAACCCCTTGAGCTCACGTTTCAGCACCACGGACAGCTACCTGAGAACTGTGCTGCCTTAAAGCCTGCTTGAAATCAGCTCGGATTGTCGCAGTTTCATGACGAAAATTCATGCATGTCAAATTGTACGGCTTGTCCATAATTTACACAGATTTTCTGTCATTTTGCAGGTATGCGGACATATAGAATAACCTCATGAAAGTTTTCATGTTTTACGGATTTTTTCAAAAAAGTTTCAGATTTATTTAATAAGTCAGAGCCTGTAGGACAGTAAAAAAAACAATTAATAACAACAAATATACATTTCCAACCCACTCTGCTGCTAGAAATGAACATTCTGCCTGCCCCCCCCCCCCAGTGCATGTGATAAATACAGATTTTTTTTTGCAAAAATTACAGATTTTTGACCCCTCTATACAGGTAAACATCTGAATGGGTTGACGTATGAAAATGACGTCACCGTGTTGTCAGTACTGACTCTGCCGCCCCTTTTGTCACAAGTTGCGGACAGAACTTCTCACCCCACTTCCACATAAGGACTTACTGTATTGTGTGACTGGTCAGTAGTTTGTGGGAGTGTTTGTTCATGCTGAAAGCGTTCAGACGCTGCATTTTGCTTTAACCACTTGCTTTCAAAACAACAAAAAAAAAGATTTGCTTCCAGAAGCCTACTGTTGTAAGATAGTCAAACGGTCAGAAACTCATGGATGGAGATGCAACAAAAGTCGTGAATGGAGGTATCTGTCAGATAAAAACTGTGGAGCTGCGACAGATTTGTGGACAAATAACCTCGGGTGATGGGTCTCTGATATTTTTTTCCCACATTGTAAACTCCAGTGGGAAGAAAACCCCTGAGCAGTGATGTATACCGCAGTGGGGGGGGTTTCCCAGGAGCTCGGCA